ACACTCTCCCTTCTTTCACAGATAAACTCCTCATAAGCATTATCTATACTTATTCTCTCCAAATTCTCTCTTGCTATTCTTTTTTTCTTAATCAGGCTTTTGTTCCTAACGCTCTGCAGAACTATTTTCGTCAGGATCGGTGACTTCTTGTTCTTAAAGCAAAGAATTAATTCTTCGTCCTTATTTGACATGGTTGATCACTTCTTCCTCCTTGACACTTTTTCTTTTATTTCCCACTTTTCTGGCTGCTCCTTTTTTGTCTTCATTGTCTCTAAACCCTGTTATAGCCTAGGGGTCAGTCTTGGAACTTCTCATTTTCTTTCTTTTTTTTCTTTATAATTCTTTTTTTTTTTTTTTTTTTTTTACTGGAGTATAGCTGATTTACAATGCTGTGTTAGTTTCAGGTGTACAGCAAAGTGAATCAGTTATACATATACACATATCCATTCTTTTATAGATTCTTTTCTCATACAGGTTATTATAGAATATTGAGTAGAGTTCTCTATGCTATACAGTAGGTCCTATTATCTATTTTATATATAGTAGTGGTTATCTATTTTATATATAGTAGTGTGTATATGTTAATCCCAAACCCCTAACTTATCCCTCCCCCCTCCCCTTTCACCTTTGGTAACCATAAGTTTGTTTTTTACATCTGTGACACTACTTCTGTTTTGTAAATAAGTTCATTTGTACCATTTTTTTAGATTCCACATATAAGCGATATCATATGATATTTGTCTTTCTCTGACTTACTTCACTTAGTAACATAATGTCTAGGTCTATCCATGTTGCCGCAAATGGCATTATTTCATTCTTTTTTATGGCTGAGTAATATTCCATTTTATATATGTACCACATCTTCTTTATCCATTTCTCTGTTGTTGGACACTTAGGATGCTTCCATGCCTTGGCTACTGTAAAGTGTGCTGCAATGAACATTGGGGTACATGTATATTTTGAATTATGGCTTTCTCCAGATATATGCCCAAGAGTGGGACTGCTGGATCATATGGTATGACTTCTCATTTTCTATTTACACACATTCCCTGATCTCATCCTGTCTCCTGGCTTTTCAATACCATTTATTTGCTGTCAACTTCCACATTTTATCTCTAGCCCAAAGTTTTCCACCAAATTCTTAGATTATGTATACAACTTAATACCTCTACTTGGATATCTACCAGGTATCTCAAACTTCATTTTCAAACTTGATCTCATTTTCCCCCCAAATGTCCTCCTTCCAGTCTTGCCCCCTCAGTCAATGGCAACTGCACTTTTCCAGGTGAGGCCCAAAAGTTTAACAGTCGCCACTGACTGCTCTCTTTCTCTCACATTGCACATCCAATCTGTCAGCAAATCTCATTGGTTCTACTTTTACAAGAGATCCAGAATGCAACTACTTCTTTCCACTCCCACTGTTACTCTGGTCCAAGCCACAACTAGCCCTTGCCTGAGTTATTACAAGAGCATACTGTCTCCAAGTTTTCTTTATGCTCCCCCCCTCAGTCTCTGCAATGCAGCAGCCAGACTGATCCTGTTAAATATAATTCAGGGCATACAACTACTCTTTTCAAAACCTTCCAGCGGCTTCCAATCTCAGAGTAAAAGCCAAAGTCCTTACAATGGCCTATAAGGCCTACAAGATTGAGCAACCTGTTACTTTTCTAACCTCATCTATTACCTTCCCTCTGGCTCTACTCCAGTCACGCTGGCTTCTGTACTGTTCCTTAAAAACCTGAGCATGCTCCTGCTTCAGGGCTTTTGCACTAGGTCTCCAGGAATGCTCCTCTGCTACTTATCTTCATGACCAGCTCCTTCTGCCTTTATTCAAAAGTCATCTTCTTGGGGCTTCCCTGGTGGCACAGTGGTTAAGAATCCGCCTGCCAATGCAGGGGACACGAGTTCGATCCCTGTTCTGGGAAGATCCCACATGCCATGGAGCAACTAAGCCCGTGCACCACAACCACTGAGCCTGCGCTCTGGAGCCCGCGCACCACAACTAATGAAGCCCATGTGCCTAGAGCCCATGCTCCATAACAAGAGAAGCCACCGCAATAAGCCCGCACACCACAACTAGAGAAAGCCTGTGTGCAGCAACGAAGACCCAACATAGCCAAAAATAAAAATAAATAAAATAAATAAATTTATTTTTTAAAAAAAGTCATCTTCTCAACAAGGCCATTTCTTTATACTATTTAAAACTGTAAAACCCTCCACAACACTTCCTATTCCCTTTATCTGCTTTATTTTCTGTGGCCATTAACATACTATATAGTTATTTATCTGATTTATTATCTTTCTTCCACCCACTCTCCCACTCCAGAATGTAAACTCCATGAATTCAGAGGTCCTCAATAGATGTTTATTAAATAAATGAATGAAAAGGGTGAACCGTTTAATACATATCATGGCAGGAAATGCAGCGTGTGGGTACCTGTATTCTGCTACTAACAATTGACAAATACAGTATTCGTCTGGACCTGAAAATACTTTAGATTCACTTGGGGTTGACACTATTCACTTTAAGTTTTTTTCTTTCCTTTCCTGTATACAGTGTTTTGTGTATTTATTTATATTTTACTTTACTTTTTCATGGTATGGAGTTCTTATTTTTTACCTTTAATTGATATGCAACACTATAAAAATAATTTTTGTTTCAATGTTTGGTTGATACATTTGTTTTAAGGGTGTGCCCATGGGAGGGTTATGCTGAATTATTAAGATCAGGACAGAGCCATAAAAAGCATTAGAATTTCATTCTAATTCTCTGAAAGTCTCAAACGCTTAAAAATGAGTAACTACCTATTTATTTATAACTTAATTTCTATAAACATTTTAATTCTATATTACTATTGGAAAAAATGATAAAATAGGTTCATTATAAGAAGGTGCAAGCATTATTTGAGAATTGCAAATGTCGCTTATAACATTGGAGAGTCTGTTAAAATAAAAAAGCTCAGGGACTTCCCCGGTGATCCAGTGGTAAAGAATCCGTCTTCCAATGCAGGGGGCATGGGTTCGACGCCTGGTAGGGGAACTAAGATCCCACACGCTGCGGGGCAACTAAGCCCACGTGCCACAACTACTGAGCTCACGTGCCTCAACGAGAGAGCCTGTGTGCTACAAACTACAGAGCCCATGCCCTGGAGCATGCGCTCCACAACTAGAGAGAAACCTGTGGGCCACAATGAAGAGCCTGTGCCACAATGAAAGATACTGCGTGCCTCAAAAAAGATCCTGCATGCTGCAACTAACACCCGACGCAGCCAAAAAAAAAATAAATTTAATAAATAAATATTTTTTAAAAAAGTAAGAAAGCTCAATTACTCCTGGACATTGCCAGTTTATATTCTGTATTTCTTCAAAAAGTCCCTGGTATCTACCCATTTTAATGTTCTTTTCTCATAGTTCTACTATTTTCATAGCTAATAAAGAAAAATGGAAAAGATATGTCCAGGGAAATATTTACACTCACATGCTGACATAAAAATAACTCAGTGCCTATAGCTACCATATGTTAGGTATAATGCTAAATCCACCAGGAAGCAAAGGGTCCACTGCTTACAGTGTGTAGCTGTATTACCCAGGCAGTTTATCTCACCTTTCTAGAACTTAGAGTCCCTATTAAATGGGACTACAGTGTCTACCTCATAGGATTATTGTGATAATTAAAACAATATAATGATTGTAAAGCAATGGCATAATACCAGGTATACAGGTAAACACTTGACAAATGTTAAGTGATATATAAGATAGGTATTGGTATTTTAGTTAAGGTTCTTTTAGTTTCAAATAACAAGGGTTAACTCAAGCTAGATTCCAAGTATTTAATATATACTTACTGAGCACTTACTATGTGCTTTCCTATGTGCCAGGCACTAGGCTAAGAACTGGTAAGAAACAAGGGGAAATTTATAACACAGATGTGGGACGGCACTTAGAACCTGAAGGCAGACTTTCAGATGAACTTCATTCAGAAAGAAATGGAACTGGGAATTGGAAAGTTGCTGAAAACCTAGGAAATATTCTCTGCTTTGCTACATAGAGTTGACTCTTGAACAACACAGGGATTAGGGGCACTGACCCCCTCGTAGTCAAAAATCCACCTATAACTTAACCATTGGACTTCCATATCTGCAGTTCCACATCTGCAGATTCAACCAACCACGGACTGTGTAATACCATAATATGAACTTACGGAAAAAAATCTGTGTATAAGTGGACCTGCTTCTAACCTGTGCTGTTCAAAACAAAAAAATCAAAACAAAAAACAAACACCTGTGTTGTTCAAGAGTTAACTGTACTTCTCTTTGCAGACTGGTTTCTATTTTCTTCTTAGTAGATAAAGAAGTTTTTTTCTGCAACAAAGTTTAGACAGTGGATTGAAGATAGCCACCCATGTGCTACCAAGTTCATGTGATACTATTCCAGCCTTATGGAAAGACTGCTACTATTTTCTCTTCCTTTCATTTTTTTATCTTAATTCCAAAGTCCTGACAGGGATCAAGTAAGTGTCCATCCTTGTTTAAACATGGGGGTAGCTAATGGGGTCACTGTAAGTTGAACAAATATTCCAAATGGCATCTACAGCAAGTATTATCCACAATTTATAAAAGAGGAAGCTAAGACTGAGAGGTATGAGTTACTTTCCCACGTTCATGTGGGTAGAGTGCCAGAAACAGAATTCAGATCCTGAGGTTGTATAAGTGCAGGGCCAGCATATCAAAGTGCATGCCTTCTTCAATTCTGCATCTAAGAAACTTTGCTTGCCTCACCCTAGTCCCAGCTCTGCTAATGCTTCATAGTTCTTTCACTATGTTCCCTTACTAAAATGTAGCACCTTCACAACTTTCAAAGAAATGCAAAGTTTAAAAAAAGTTTCATGGATTCAGATTGTAAAAGTTTTTGCAAAGAACATGAAATAATGTTATGTTCTTATTGATTTTGTGTATAAACTATTTGCCTTCCAGAAGACACTACTAAAAGCAGAAACTTACCTTCCCATTCTGTTGGGATATCCCCTACTTTATAGTCTATTTCTCTTCTATTTGCTGATTCTACAATTCTTTTCTCTCGAATAGTTTGTCCTGTAAGACAAAAGTGATTATTACATTTTTAAATGAACCCATGACACAGTAGTTACTACACGAAATATTTTCTCTTTAGATATTACACACCTCCTCCTATGATAAGAGAATTAACAGGGAAAAGAATAGATTCCATTTAGAATTAGGTATATTAGAAAAAGCAGTTTCTATACTTCAGAAATTTTAAATTTCCTACATAGTATGCAAAATTAATTTTGGTAGAGTAAGTCTAGATTCTGTGTACACAAAAAGAGAAACCAATTAATCTGCAGGCCAATAAAAAACATTTTAATAAACAACAGAATGTTTAACTCCTTCAAACTCTGCAGGTATATATATCAGAGGTGCCAGTGGCTGCTGCTACTGCCTAAGGGAATCAACATTCATGGCCCCAATATGGAAAATAATATGGAGGTTCCTTAAAAAACTAAAAACAGGGTTATCATATGACCCAGCAATCCCACTCCTGGGCATATATCCAGAAAAGATGAAAACTCTAATTTGAAAAGATACATATACTACAATGTTCACAGCAGCACTATTTACAACAGCCAAATATGGAAGTAACCTAAGCGCCCATCTACAGATGAATGGATAAAGGAGATGTGGTATATATATATATATATATATATAATATATATATATATATATATATATATATATATATATATATACACTATGGAATATTACTTGGCCACAAAAAAGAATGAAATATTGCCTTTTGCAGCAACTTGGATGGACCTAGAGATTATCATACTAAGTGAAGTAAGTCAGAAAGAGAAAGACAAATACCATATGATATCTCTAATCTGTGGAATCTAAAAACTAATACAAATGATCTTATTTTCAAAACAGAAAGACTCACAGACAGAGAAAACAAACTTATGGTTACCAAAGGGGAAAGGGAGGAAAAGGAAGGATTAATTAGGAATATGGGATTAATAGGTACAAACTACTATACATAAAACAGATAAGCAACAAAGATTTACTGTATAGCACGGGGAACTATATTCAATATCTTATGATAAGCTAAAATGGAAAACAATCTGAAAAGTATATATATATACATATATATGTATATATATAAATATAAAACTGACACTTTGCTGTACACCTGAAACTAACACAATATTGTAAAACAACTATATATCAATTAGAAAAAAGAGCCTTGATTATAACCTTTCAAAGCAGCAGCAGCTTTGTCAAAATGGTGATTTCAAAACATATTACTTTGTCATTGAAACTTTGATCCTGAGGAAACCAGGTAAGTTTCTATTTCCCAACAGTTAAAAAATGTGCCTGCCTACTCCAGGGAATGCAGGCTAAAACAGAGAAAGTATTGGTAGGTAATGATGAGAGGAGAAGTATGGCTTAACAATGGTCAGACCAGTCAAGGAGAGAAATCTGGGCCTTGCAAAATACCACTTTCTCTTCCCACTCCTAGGCCAACCTTACACTATGCCAAATAGACTGGGTCACATAATTCAAGAAATTGACTTTGTTGACTGCAAATCTCTCTCCTAAACTACCTGAAATTCTACATTAAAAAATTCCTTCGGGACTTCCCTGGCAGTCCAGTGACTAAGACTCTGCGCTCCCAATGCAGGGGGCATGGGTTCCATCCCTGGTCGTGGAACTAAGATCCCGCATGCCGCAAGGAAGGTACAGCAAAAAAAATCCTTCAATTGCAGACAAGGAAATTTCTAGGAGTGACTGTGCAGGAGAAAGGGAGACACAAAAGGGTAGCCTAAGAATACTGAGTGGCTAGTTTTATTTCCTCTGCCTTAGTAATAGTAAGTGAAAGGCTAGGATTTCCTAGACAAGCCATTAATGGCTAATAACTCTGAGATGAGCTCAGGGAATCTCTGAATTTTATTATGGACTCATTTAACTGGGCTGATTTAATCCTAATACAGAGGTTCTCCAAGTTTTATAAAGAGGAGTTACCTTTTGCTTATCTTATCCAATAAATACACAGGAGGACAAGGGATTAGTAGTAAAGTCCCCAGGTTGTAGGGACAAGAATTAGGGCAAAAGGAGCCTCTAACAATGACAGCTGCATTACTCTCATAGCAGAGGCTCAACATATATACATATATTTTTACTAAAATGCTATTTATATCCAAATATATAAACATATCATAATAACAAGTTACCATAAATTTAGCATAGACTAAATTTACTAAAGTATGTTTACATTACAATTTTCAAAATGTTTGAAAGAGTCAAAATATCTGTGTCTTCATATATTCCTTATCTAAATACCAGGATGTAAGTGTATCTTTTTAGCAATAACAAGTACAGAAAAGAAAATTATCATCTAAAATACGAAATGCTAACAGATGGCCTTCTGAAAGTACATGTGTGTTCTATAAGCTTTTAAGTGTATGTCAATGAAATTTAGTGCATAGGGAGAGAACAGAGAGGTCTACCATTTCCAGCAGCACCAATAAATGCATATATAAGTAAGTATATCTATATGTCTGTGACATAAAAATTAATTTTTTATTCCTACCCTCAAATTGATAAACTTCCTTTGTATCCTAAGAGTTTTAAGAATCAAAATTCATACCTATTTTTGTGTATATGGAAAGACAGGAAGAGTAATTCATGAGTTAGTCACAGAGAATTGCTGAAAAAAAACCTTTGTTTACAAATAGATGACATCAAAGGTTTATGAAATGCATGTACACATCTTTAGCAATATAAAATAAGGCCATTAATTTATTGAATAAACTCTTGGTAATCAGATATGGGCTTTTCCCTCCAAATAAATTGTTTTAAGACTACTCCATTCTGTACAATTTTTATGAATTGGGAATAAAACTTATGCCTCCCACTGAGTAAGAAATTATGCACAAATTGTACACTTGCTCATTCTAATATGCTTTCATACAAGAGTTGTAAAGACAATCCTACTTCTCATAGCAAAATAAATTTCCATCTAGTAAATGGAGCAAATTTAAGTACTTACTCAAGTGTCAAAATTTTAGGGTCTAATTTACATTTAAAAATTAACTTAGGGGGCTTCCCTGGTGGCGCAGTGGTTGAGAGTCCGCCTGCCAATGCAGGGGACACGGGTTCGAGCCCTGGTCTGGGAAGATCCCACATGCCGCGGAGCAACTAGGCCCGTGAGCCACAACTACTGAGCCGGCGCGTCTGGAGCCTGTGCTCCGCAACAAGAGAGGCCGCAATAGTGAGAGGCCCGCGCACCGCGATGAAGAGTGGCCCCCACTTGCCACAACTAGAGAAAGCCCTCGCACAGAAATGAAGACCCAACACAGCAAAAATAAATTAATTAATTAATAAACTCCTACCCCAACATCTAAAAAAAAAAAAAAAAAAATTAACTTAGGGACTTCCCTGGTGGCGGAGTGGTTAAGAATCCACATGCCAATGCAGGGGACATGGGTTCGATCCCTGGTCCAGGAAGATCCAAAATGCCGCGGAGCAACTAAGTCCGTGTACCACAACTACTGAGCCTGCGCTCCAGAGCCCGCAAGCCACAACTACTGAAGCTCGCAAGCCTAGAGCCTGTACTCCTCAACAAGAGAAGCCACCGCAAGGAGAAGCCCACGCACTGCAACGAAGAGTAGCCCCTGCTCGCCGCAACTAGAGAAAGCCCGCGCGCAGCAATGAAGACCCAAAGCAGCCAAAGATAAATAAATAAAATAAATAAATTTTTAAAAATTAACTTAATAACAAAAGCTTTTAATCTAATATATGTATAGGTTTAATAAGTCCTAATACAATAATAAACAATTGACAGTGGTGTACTCAATGAATATTAAGTAAAACACCATATTTACATGGTGTTTTACTTAATATTAAATATTAGATTTAATTAAAACAGTCAAAATAAAAGTTTGAATTCACGTAGACCATAATGATCAATGGTATACGGATTTAAAGACTGTGTAAGTAACAGTACAATTTCCCAAACTTAAAAAAATTTAAAGCTACCTGCCATTGAACTGATTGCCCTATGACGATAGCAGATTTCCTATTCCTTTATTTAAAAAAATATGGAATCCATTCAGTTAAAAGAAAAAAAGGCAAAATTCCCTTTCAGGTATCAGGTAGATGATGGGTTTAGGTAAAAGATGGATTTCATCTGTTCTACTGGGTTTCTGGGATAGAGTAAGAACCCTGGACACAGACTCAGGAAAGAGGAGCTAGAGCAGAGTCCTCAACTTCAGTCATTCAAGTGCCAGCTTTCCAATTTTGGTCACACTTTGTAGTATTATATTCCTAATATTTTTCTTTAATTTGTCTTGCTTTTTCTTCAATATTCACTTTTTACTTTACCTCCCCCCAAAAAAACCCATGAAATCACTGACTAAATACACTAGTTGTATTTTGTGTTCAAACATACATAAAATAGATATATCTTAAAAATGTAACAGGCTGTCTTTGTACCTGCTGAAGTCATCTTGTAGACTGCATTTCGAAAACCACACTGGTCTATAGAGACAGGCCCAGCAGAACATACAGTGATACAGGGCATAGGAACCAACATACCAGTAAGAAATTCCTGTGGATAGGAAACAGCTGATGAACATCAAAGTCTTGCCTGGATTGTGTTTACCCTTCATTTCATAAAATCCTATGTTATGTACAATCTTATGTTATGTTTGAAAGAAGAGGGCAGAGATCTTAGAAGTAGGAAGGGAGTGGTACTTGTCTGAGTATATACTTCTCAATAAGTTTGAAAGCATGCTAATGTTCTGTATATTCAAAAAATTAAATCAACATGGATGTGAAAGGGAAAAAAAGAAGGAAATGAAAGCAAACTGAAACAAATAAACCCAACTTTATTTCAGACTAATAACATAACCACACCGAATGGGGAAAGAAAAGAAAAGTGGTATGTGCCTATGTACCCTAACTTTCAGGAAGGAAAAGAACTGCAAACACATCCTGAACTGTTTGTAGTATGCTTGTTTTCTGTAGTGGTATGGGCGAGGCAATTCTGAAACTACTCTAGATATATTATATGA